AGGAAGAAATAGAAGGGATTTTCTTTTTCTTTTCTTTTTACTGTGTAATACATGTAGGTATTTTGACATCTGAATACAAAATTCGTTTATTGTATTGTAACTTCGAACGATGCGTTGGGTTAAAATTTTATAATACATTAAATGTGGTTATTTTCCTGAGAGAATACATGATGTAAAACATGGCTTAAACCCATAACCACCAATGCTGCAAATTATACATAATTTGAGTATAATTTCAGGGGCCACAAAAATATGCTTTGAGGGCTGGATTTGGCCCTCGAGCCTGAGTTTGACATGCTTGGCTTAGAACAGGGGTGCCCAAACCTTTTGCTTCCAAGGGCCAAAGTAAAAATTTGCCAGTGGGCCGCGGGCCAAATACACCAATATTATGCATGAAACACAAATAAATGTAGATTTGATCAAGTTCTTTTAAATGCATTAATTATTGTCTATCAGTGCAAATCACAGCTGAATGAATTAAATCAACACAGTCTTAGTGAAGTGGAGACTCCAGGGAAATATGCAGGTTTGAGGAGACTACAGTACGGAAAGATTCCGGTCGGGTAATCAGGGTCCAGAGGAGGGAGATTTTCTGTCATGGCTTATTTAAAGGTTAAAATCATATAATAAAACCTCAAAAAGAGAACAGAAACATACATTTTGTGTGCACCATGTGCACTTGTATATTGTAAATAGTAACTGTAACTCTATTTTAAATTTATTTATTTATTCCTTAGAAGTGTTTTTTATTCTTTTTTTATTATCTCTGTTGCACTGAGCCAAAGCAATTTCCAAGTCTATTTTCATATATTTATTTTGAACAAAAGTTTTTAACTACATTTGAATCATATTACTTTATCTTAGCTTTTATCAAAAAGGGGAGACATCACTGATCAATAGATCTGGTTTTAGCACACTTTTAAACAATACATTTTAACATTAAGTAATGAATTTGGGAACATAATTGCTAACTGTAATTTCTAAACATGATCAGGTTTTAACTCTGTTTTAACATAGGACAAGTATTCTCAATTAGTAGTGAACTGAATATTAAACTAACAAAATCAGACTAGTTAACCATGATTTTTTCCTGGAGTTTTGTTTTGTTTTGCCTAAACACAGTACAACATTTATAAATAATCAAAACAACGTAACTGTTAAAGAGTCCGAGTTTCCGCTCCTCCAAAGGGCTCTTGAACGCATCATAAAACTCCGCGTAAGTTCTGACATTCAATGATCGCGAGTGAGGACGGCGCTTACCGGCTTCTTTCATGGGGTTGTAGAAGAGTTTGTTTTGCACAGTATTTGTTGCTTCTACTTGCGTGGATCGTGCGCTGCGATCCCTGCTTGTCCTGCTTGAACTCACTCTGAAGTGTTTGTGTCCGTCCTTTTTAACACACCGGGTGGGTGCGGATTGCGCAGGTGAATAGTTCCACTCGCCATTTCCCTCCGGTGAGGAGGGGGAGTGGCAGTTCGCCAGCACAATCCTCTCAATTTGATAAAACATTAAATAGCTCCAAAAAATAATAATAGTAGGCTGAAAAAAAACATAAAGGGGCCTTGCACCCAATTGTTTTGAAAGATGTGTTTGATTTTAAAAAACATTTTAGTGCAAGTTGATGTGAACCATGATTGAGGAGTGTATCTCGATACAACACTTAAGTACTGGACAGTCGTAATTCAGAGGGCGACTATGCGCCCGCGCAACCTCAGACATGTCTCTTGAAAGGGGCTCTTGAACGCATCATATAGCGGAGGTGGGCAATGTTTGGCGGGCCAACTGAAATGGTCTGGCGGGCCAACTTTGGCCCGCGGGCCCCACTTTGGGCACCCCTGGCTTAGAAGGTTCTTGTAATAAGACCAATGGTGGAAATAGTGTTTGGGTCTGAAGGATATTGCCATCATTTGAAAATAGATAACACATTTATTTGATATTAAATGGCTTCACATGATAACTGTAGTCTTTTTTCAGTGTAATAAAAAAGTCCATGTAAACAGGGAGAACATACCAACCATCCCATAATCAGGACCTTCTTGGTGAGAGACAAGAGCTCTACAACATGCTCACCATTAGAAGAAAGACACCTAAGAATGATATGCATTTGCTCCAAGTGCAGCTCTAAATGCAGCTCTAAATGTTTAAAACCAGGTTAAAAACAGTTCTGTTTAGCTGTGTATACAACTGAGGGATTGTATATTTTATATTTTTACTTTCTTTTTATTGTACTGTGATTATTTATGATTTTAATGCTTTCTTATTTTGTTCAGCACTTTCAGTTGCCTTGTGTATGAATTGTGCAATACAAATAAACTTGCCTTACCTTGCCTTAAATAGGCCGCCCGCTAACCTTATTCCCACAAAATGGCCTCCCCAGATCTTCGTATATATTCACAGCAGCGTAATAAAGCTGTGACTTACAACTGCCTATAACGGGCCCTCTCCTTTGTGTCTGCTTTGGTGTGGGACGTCCTGTGTTTGGCTGTTGGCCCGGACCCCAGTTGGGCTCTGGGCCCCCGTGGTTCCAAACGTTAATGAAGTGTGCAGCTCCCAAAAAAGTACTGCACTGAGAAGGAGGATTGACAGCCGATAAGTGATGCCAAGTTCTTAGAAAACATTTTTACAAGACCCTTGGAAAAACAAAGAAGGGGGTCTCGACATGGGGGAGTATAAAACTGGCAGGAAACTGGAATCATGACTGAGTTCCATTTTTCCACTTAATGTCTCTGTGGATTTGAAGAATAGACGGAAGAAGGTGCATATTTGAGGGTTGAGATGTTGATGTTCCACTGGAGGAATTGCAAATGTTCAAAAGGTTAAAGAGATTGTATTAGTGGCCTAATAAAGCCCAACTCCAAATCTACTTGACGTTGCCAGAATCTTCAGCCTGTGACACATATAGGTTCTAAACACTGATACTGATGCAAACCACCTGCTGGAGTTTAGCTAGAAACTGTAAAAACTATGTGTGTTACGTATGACCAGTTATTTTATTTTTGCATCTGCTTCCATTTAAACAAATGTGTGGTAGTATTTAAATAAAAAACGCGCACACAAAAAATCAGCTACATTTCACCCAACCCAAATAAGAGCCTCATTCTGCTCTTCAATTTGATAATCAACTTGAAAATTGTAAAACCTGTTATGGACTTATATTTTCTTTTAAGAATAACTCCACATTAAAAGTTAATATAGGAATAATCAAATATGATTTGTACATGTTGTTTGGGGACAGATATAAAAGATGTTGATGTCATTTAAAATGAGAACAGAACATACTGTCCCTTTTGAACAGATTGAATTGAAGTTATTTGTTGAAAGTCACCGAAAAAAAAAGAGTAAATCATAACTTCATAATCACATTCCTACTTTCTACTGTTTTTTATTGTTGTTTTTCTTTGTGTTGGTGTGGATTTTGCTAAATCCCTCGTCTGTTGTTGTGAGTGTCATGTGACCATGCCAGATCTGTGCCAGCACAAAATATTTCCACAAACTTTATATATTCACAGCAAAATTGTTTTTATTAGCGTGGACTGTCCCGGTCTTGGACTGAGGCTCATATTGATGACTTTGGGTGAGGAGCCTTGTCTGGCCCTGAAAGGGAGATGGTGGGGGACCGAAGACCACAGCCCACGGTCCATCCAGACCAGAGCCTCTGATCAGTTTCTCTCCCTCTGCAGTTGGATTTATGAATAGATTAATCATTAATTTGCAAAAATAGTTAAGTGCCAATAGAAAAAATATTTGAAAAGCTTTGAATTTGACCCTTTACCAAGTAGTTTTTCAAAAGAAAAATCTAATTCAGTGTTCCCCCCTTCTTTAGTAAATTCTGTAACAGCTAAACACAAAACATGTGGGAGATTGTAACCAGAGGAAGACGCGTGTTTGACAAAGTCAAAATGAAGATATCTGTTATTGCAAATGAACTCTTTACTTCATAACTCATCACGAGATCTTGGACTCTTCCAATTGTCACTTTACACTTAGTAATTTACACTTCAGCCACTTTGTAATCTCCACTCTGAATTCCCGCCCCACTGTCACTTTATACTGTTTGTATTTATTTTGCATGAAGATTGTTAATGCATGCCTTGCATTAACATTGTGTTAATGTGTGTTAATTGGCAGGATACAGGAGCACCATATGCCTGAGCATACTCCTAGTTTGAGACTTCCTGTTACTTACAATGGAAATTAAAATAATTCTGATTCTGATGTAATGGCCAAAAATAATGCATGATATGAATATACTTCTTTACATACTTAATCATGTTTAGCAAGGTCTGCATTGGAGGCTTTTTCACTGAAAACCCTAGCTTCAGTTGAGATTCACTGGAGTCAGTTTTGACAGATGCACAAGAGCGGTGCACGCCACCACAGACAGTAAAATTTATAACGCTCTTAAAAATCAGATAAGGATCATAAAGTAGTCATTACTGTGAGCCGCGCTGTCACCGCGACAGACGTCTGTACACTGGAGCATCAGCAATTATATCTTCAGCAACAAGATGAACCCTTTATGACCTACAGGAGCTCATGTGGGCCACTTTATCTTCTCATTTCCTTCTAAAACGGCAGTATAATCATTTGACCCAGAAACATGCACTTCAGCAAGCAAAATGTAGTTGTACTCTAAGATTGTAACACTTAAAGCTGGCATACCTAAATTTTTGTTTCATAAATGGAAGAATACATGTTGTTTGGTCCAACAGAAAGATTCTTGGAAAGTTAAAATGCCATGCTTCTTCTTTTTCTTCTTCTCAGCCTGTGATCCAATAGTTAACACATTTGGGCAGAGAGCTGAAGGTGGTTCTCTTTTTCACTGATGTATATGATAGAATAAAATAGGAAAAAACTTTTATATAATTGTCTGGAACATGTTTTGTATTATGTCAAGCCTAACGTGTCATAATCAGTAAGTTTGATTTAATATTGTGGTCAAAATCATGTGGTTTCACTCACATGTTTCCAAAGCTGGCTGATTTCAGTGCTTGTTTTTCAGGGCGCAGAGGAGGCATGGGCCACGTTCCTGAAAAGCTGTTTTGGATTCGGGCTGCGGGCTGTGTGTCATTTCCCCTGTAAAAATGAAAAGAAAACAAGCACACAGCCCCAGGGCAGGACGAGACGGGAAATAAAAGAACTGCAGAGAAAAGGCCTTGTAAGTGAGATTTTAATTAGGAATATTTATATTATAATATAATATTATGAAGAGTTTATGGGATGGATAAACAGTGGCACTTACAATTAAATACATGGCAGTGGTTTATGGATATGAATTATCACTTTTGCGTTATTGTAACTGACATTTTTATATCTTGAAATCATATCTTGTATTATGTGTGTTCATTCTGGCCCTTAAATGCCAAGCCTATTGTAGAGGTTTTTAGTGGTAGGGAAAGCCAAAGCACCCGGGGAAAACCTACGCAGACAACGGAAGAACATGCAAACTCCATACAGAAAGGCCTTCAGGTGGATTGAACCCAGGACCTGTCGCCAAATTGCACGCCTTTGTATATGCCGTGCCATATAGGGTTCAATTGTATCATATATTTTTTCCCAACAGAAAGAGGATTGTAAGTGAAACAGTTTAGTAGATTAGATTTATCTTTCCTGCGAGTCACTATTGGTCACTTTGAGCTGAAAGTTGTGTGAGTGGACTGGGTGGTCCTCTCACTGGCTTTCAAAGGTGACTAATAAAAAGAATAATGAATCATATATAGCACATTTCAGAACACTCAAAGACGGTTCACACATATTATTCATTCACACCACACAATGGTGATAAACTTCTACTGTAGCCACAGCTGCCCTGGGGCACACTGACAGAAGCAAGGCAACCAGTCTGTGTCATCAGCCCCTCGGACCACTACACACACCAACCCCATATAGGCAATGGGGGTGAAGTATCTTTTCTAAGGACACAACGGCATTTTGGCACTTTACAGCCGCAGTCGCCCCACTGTGGCACCTGGTCATATTTACATGGATCTTATTACATAGATATTTTTTGTGGTTTGAACATAAAGTACCCCAGCTCTAAGGGCAAAAACACCACAGCAATGTTGCTTAGGTGCAATGTGCAAAAGGAAATTGTGAAAACCGCAGAAATATAGTAAAAAGGCTTACACAGCAGCGCGTTACACAACTGTGACCGGTCAAACACGAGCCGTCACTTCCACACGGAGCTCAGTTGAAACTTCCAAGAATCACCCCCCCTCTCACTCTTACACCCCCCCCCCCCCCCCCACACACACACACACATGCTCTCACCCACTAGCTTCCCCTGTCTTGTGGGGACTTTAACCGCTTATTATCCCGCCTAATTTTTTCGAAAACAACAGAGAAAATTGAGAACAGTCTAATTGCATCTATTTGAAAATGTGGCCAGCGAATTATACCTGGAAATTATATTAAAGGATCTTTGAGAACAATGCTTCTGAATCATCCATGTATCACAGACTGAGAAAAGACTGTGACATCAGTAAACAAAGTCAAGTAAAGGCAAACGGCTATAACCATAAATCTAGCCAAAAAAAACAATCCCTCAGTACTAAAACAGTGTTAAAAAAGGTGTGGGAAACTATGAATAAATGGAGATATAAACTTACTTGAGGACAAAACATTATTACTGGGAATATGAACTCAGAGAATGAAGAAAAGAGAGGAATATCTGTTCTTGATACTTCAAATAACCACTCTTCAACAAATTACCAAAAAACAACCCATCAAAAACTGGATGGAAGCATTTTAAAAGGTCCAGCAAATGGAGAACTTGACACACAAGATTGATAATGAGGAAGATGAATTCAGAAAAAAATGGCCCGCTTTTGATGATACATTTAATTGAAAACTGAAAACTACCCAACTAATTATAATACAGTCGAGGATGACCGAACAATCCAACATATCACAGTCTGTTATTGAATTGAATATTTTTTAAGTCAAACTGGTGACAAATAAATAGCTTTAGAAGTCATTCAATTCAAATCCAATCACAACAGTAGTCATCTCAGAGGATTTGACAAAACCGTTGAAATTGCCAACACAGATCAGAGAATCAAAAGTTATAACACAATTATTTTCTATCTATATATTCATTTCCTTTATTGCTTTGTTTTTTGTCTCTTTATTATATTCTATGTTTGCTTTTCTTTTGGCGTAAGGGGGGCATAGTGGGAAAATGATAAAAGAACATAAACAGTGTCTTGTTATGCTGTGTGCAACATGGAAAAAAGTGTGAATGAAGAGTACAATTATGTAATAAAAAATGACTTCCCAGTCCCACAAATCATATTTAGCTGGCTCTATTATACTCTATACACTCTTTAAACTCATACAATAATCATCTAAAATTCCAGACTAAAAGCAACTTATTGGAATTGAATTATTATTTTAAAACTCAAGAATCTTAACCTTTTTTAACACATAGTTGAATCAACGCAGGTGTGTCAAAGTAAGCAGTACTGCAGGGCTGCTCTGTGCACCTTTTTAGTAAACTTTTAACAACTTTTTAGCGCGTTTTTATTGTTCAGTTTTTTAATATATCTGAGTGTTTTATCTTTTTAATTCAGTGGTTTCAGCAAATAGCACTTAGTCCCGACTGAAACCCACTAGTAGCACAGAGGCTAACACAAGCTAACGAGGACATGGAAAGTGACAATGAAATTGGCTCAAACATGCACAATATTAGTCGCCTCACCTTGGAGCTCCGTGAGAGCGACCGTGCCACCATTGCAGATCTACGAAAAGAAGTCCTTCGTCTCACCGCAGAGTTGAATGAGAAACAATCTCTAGTGTCCAAACTTTTTGAAGTCGCTGGTGGGCAGCACTCACGGCTGATGTCACTGAGCGCTGCATATTGTGACACTGTCGTGTGGGAGAGATCCGTCAGCTCCGGACCCTCCTGTTCTACACCTAAGCGCCCGCTTCCGAATAACGAGCCCGCGGATTCCGAGGAGCCATCCTGCGCCGTGGCCCATGTCCTGAGTCTGGCAAACCGCTATGCAGCCCTCTCCACCGACATCCCGGCCCCCTCAGCAGAATCCCTGGACACTGCAGCAAACTCTACTGCTCGAGGATCCAAGTCCACTGCGAGGAAAACGCTCCTAAAGGAAGCAGTCCTCAGGCGAAAGAGCGGTCCACCAGCCATGTTGACCCCAGTGCAGCAGCCTCAGACTGGGGTAGCTAGCCATCATCACCACCGCTCACCTCCACCGGGTCAGCAGCAGCGTCCAGAGCCAGCCCCTCTCACCGCTCCAGCGTCCCCGAGCACACAGCGTGGGTCGCCTGTAGCTGAGAGTCAGCACCCCCGCTCCTCCTCTCCATGTGTTCAGCGGCGCTCAGGCTCGGGTCCTGCTTCGGGTGAACCCGCTGGTTCCGTCCACCGAGCTCCTTCTCCGAGGCCACTCTTCGCCCCGACCACTCTGATTATTGGAGATTCCATCGTGAGACACGTCCGCTTCTTCAACGCGGTCACTCGCTGTATTCCCGGAGCTACTGTACCAGACCTGCTCATCCGTCTCCCTCCTCTGCTTCAGTCCCTGCCTGATACCGTTTCCAAGGTAGTCGTGCATGTGGGAATTAACGACATGAAACTTCAGCAGTCAGAAGTCACGAAGAAACATTTTATGGATCTGTTCCACCTCCTTCAATCCTCCGGACTATCTGTTTTTATTTCTGGTCCAATCCCGACTGTAAGCAGAGGTGACTACCTCTACAGTCGTGTTGTGGCGCTGCATGTGTGGCTCCAGGCTACATGCAGCTCTTTTAACTTTGTCTTTGTGAATAACTTTGCCCTTTTCTGGAAACGTAACGAAGCCTATCGTCCAGACGGATTACACCCAAACAGATACGGTAGCAGCCTGTTGATGGATTACATACGTTATGTTGTTCAGCGTTCCCCGAGGGGGGCGTGACTGTTTACATCTGAGCCCCCTCGGACCCCACCGCACTCCCCCGCCTCCTGCTCACCAGCACCGGGTGAGTACAACGGTGCAAACACTGCTCCCTGTCCGTCTGGCAGTGTATTACCAGTCCAAACACTGAACTGTGCTGACTCCCTTCTGACTCTGGGAGCTAAAGAACAACAAGGGTTTTCACATTTTAGGCCAATTGAGACTGTGTGTGTTCCTCGCACCAGCTCAAAAATGTTTTTAAATTCTAAAAAACGAAATCAAAACAGGACAGCAGTTAGACGGTCCAACTCTGCAAATCTAATTTCTGTTCCCTGTAGAAATCAATCAACCACATTAATCGACTCTGACGTTATTTTTAAACTTGCTATGCTTAATGTCAGATCTCTATGTAACAAATCATTTTTAATTAATAATTTTATCACTTCTTATGATCTTGATTTTATGCTTATGGCTGAAACATGGCTGGACCAAAATACAGGAAATGCAGTTCTAATAGAAGCAACACCACCCAATTTTAAATTCGAATCCGAAATACGAGAAAACAAAAGGGGGGGAGGCATAGCTGCAGTTTTTAGAGAGCACTTTGTCTCCCATAGAATGCCCCTTGGAAATTTTTCATCGTTTGAGTATATTTCTTTTAAAATGGAACAAAAGCAATCTTCTACTCTTTTCATTGTCCTGTACAGGCCACCACAGTCATGTTGCGATTTTATTGACCATTTTACTGAACTACTTTCATTCGTGTGCACAGATTTTGATAGTTTAGTTATTACAGGTGATTTTAATGTACATGTTGATAATGTTGATGACAGAAATGCAAAGGAGCTGGCTTCTGTATTTGAGACCTTTGGTTTCATTCAGCACGTGAGTGGCCCCACCCACAGCAGGGGGCACACTCTTGACCTGCTAATTACAAAGGGGGTTAATGTATCAAATGTTAATGTAGTTGATGTTGCTTTGTCAGATCATTTCTGTGTATTTTTTGACATGTGTTTTGCTAGCAAACCACCAGCTGAATTTACAACTGTTAGAAGAAGACACATACATGAAAACACAAGTGAACTGTTCATGGGAATGCTAAATTTTGAGAAAACTCCATGCTCTACTGTTGATGAATTGTATAACTCTGTCACCACCAGTGTTCTGACTGTTCTGGACGCCATTGCTCCTGTGACGGTTAAAATAGTTACCAGTAAGAAAAAGGCCCCATGGACTAAGGCAGACTCGGTTAGGGCACAGAAGC